CTAAACATGTTTGCTGTAATGCTGAGGCTTTTGTAACAATGAGATCAGTTGAAAAAGCAAACATTACTCTGTCAAATCAAATAAGAATAATAGTCAACCTTTGTGGTGAAATCAGGCTAAGTCCTAATTTGGTTCTACATGATGTTTTATACGTACCACAGTTTAAACTCAATCTACTATCTGTCAATGCATTAACTGCTAATTCCAAACTCACATTACACTTCTCTCAGGACCAGTTTCACATTCAGGAGACTATCACCAAGAGGATGATTGGCAAATGTAGCACAGTTCAGGGGCTTTATGTGCTGGATATCAGAAGTTTTAATTCATTTTCAAATAATTTCATTGGCAATGTATCTGCTCGTGTGTGGTATAATAGACTGGGGCATGTGTCTTTTAAGAGATTAGATACTTTAAAGGATCAATTGTCTTGTAATATTTTCAAGTTGACTAGACAGATTCCTTGTTATATTTGTCCAATAGCTAAGCAGAGAAGATTATCATTTGAGTTACACAATAATATTTCAAACAAGCCTTTTGATCTGTTACATGGTGACATATGGGGACCTGATCATACAGCATCACACACGGGACATAAATATTTCCTAAGTCTAGTTGATGACTGTTCCAGATTTACATGGACATATCTGCTTCGTCTAAAATCTGATGCTACATGTGCTATAACTTATTTCTTCAACATGGTTAATACACAATTTAATGCCAACATCAAGGTCTTCAGATCAGATAATGCACTTGAACTGTCTTGTAAAGAATTATTTGATTACAGAGGGGTTATTCATCAAAGCAGTTGTGTTGAAAGGCTACAATAAAACTCAGTTGTGGAAAGAAAACATCAACATCTGTTGAACATGGCTCGAGCTTTATTCTTTCAATCTAGAATTCCTCTTTATTTCTGGTTTGAATGCATATTAAAAGCAGCTTTTCTCATAAATAGGACTCCATCTCCTCTTTTAAATCATAAAATACCCTATGAAATTTTATATTCTTAACCTGCTGATTACTCCAATCTGTGGGTTTTTAGGTGTTTAGGATTTGCATCTACTCTTATTGCCCAAAGAAATAAATTCCAACCTCGAGCCAAGCCTTGTGTATTTTTAGGCTATCCTTCAGGAGTAAAGGGCTTCAAAATGCTTGATATTGTTTTCAAAACAAACCCTTATTTCCAGGGATGTGATTTTTTATGAAGAAACATTCCCCTTTCACACCATTGTGAAGTCTGATCAAGTTTTGGATCCCTTTCATGACCTTGTGTTACCTTCTGTAACTTTATCTCTACCTACTGATCTTCCTGTTCAATCTGTTCTTACTCATCCTAAACCATCTATACAAGAAATGCCTTACAACCTTGTCCCAGATTCTTCCACTGCCACACATAATCCTTGCTCTTGAATCTCAACTTCTTACTCAACCACACTCTACTAGTCAGATAAATCCAACCATTAGAAAGTCCACATGATTCTCCAGAATTCCCAGATATCTTCATGAATATCACTGTAATCTATTATCCTACACTGATCAATCCATTTCTCTCTCCATATCACATTGGTAATTTCATTTCATATCAAAGTTTATCCAATCCTCACAGACACTTTACCCTGTCCATATCATCTCAGCTTGAACCTCAATTCTTTCATCAAGCAGTCAAGGATCCTCAGCGGTGTGATGCAATGAGACTTGAGTTAACAGCCATGGAAGATAATCATACCTGGTCCATTGTACAACTGCCTTCTGGAAAGCAGTCTATCGATTGCAGGTGCATATATAAAAACAAATTCAATTTAGATGGTTCCCTAGAAAGGCGTAAGGCACGCCTTGTTGCAAAAGGCTACTGATGAGTGTTCTACACTC